CCCCCCCCCCGCTCCTCCTTTTTATCAAGGGTTCAATGTATTGTTGCATGAGACACGCGGGTAATTTAAGGATAATTGGAGTGTACCGTGAAAATATACAAGAAAAAATGGTGAATTCAAGTGCTCACCACAATGCTGTCTTGAATCGATGGTACCCCGTTGAGAGTTGAACTCAAGTGGTGCATTCGCTGGAGTCTACGGCGGGTCAGGAAACCCCTGACACCTGCAGGAGCATAAATAATCCTTTTTTCATTGAGGTTCAGGTGAAATTGATTATCTAAAAAGCCATTTCTGCAGTGAAATGGTGAATGAACAAGCGTCTGCGCGATTTGGGAGTGAGTTTTTTACGAATATCTTTGGAAATAAGGAAGATGGCGAAATTGTTGTAAGAACCTTTATTGTAGAGCAGATCACGATCTACAAAAGAGGTTATTAGAGAAATTGCGCTATCTAGCTTAGATTTCAAGATATTTCTTAATAAATAAAAATTGTTCTTTTTGAAGAAAGTTAATGAAGCGAGTTGATGGTGATCTAAAGAAGATAAATGATTCTATGAAATATTCAAAGATACGAGGTAGCAGGCAGGTGTGGGCGCCGCCATCTTCCTTGGACACCCTCTCCCTCCGGCGGAAAGGGTTTTCAAAATGGCGGCGCCTCCACCTCGCATTTTCAAATATTTTTAAAAATCATGTATCGTCTTCGAATCACCCTTAACTCACTTCTAGCGGTTTCTATAAAGAGAACAAATTTTTTAAGCCATCTCTCAGATTTTTCCATTCCCATTTTGCAGGAAATTCACACCGCAAAGTTTTTCCCGCGTTTCAGTAGTTTTTGTTACTCCCGAGACCTCTTAAACTCAAATTTTTATTTCAGTTTTTGACAATGATCCCCAAATACACAAAAAAAGCCAAAAATACTCCCCAAAACTGAAATATTTGAACGAGAAAAAAAAGAAAAACAAAACAAAAATTTGAGTATGTATATTATTAACACATTTAAATAGATTGGCTAGTCTATTAATTTTACCATGTAAGCAATATAAATAATTCTTTCCGAGTATTATTTTGAGTTGTTCATTTTATTAATTTCATTATTATACTTTATGTGTATTTAATTTGATCCTGTAATTGGCCGTGTGCTGTTGAGTCTGTATGAAATAAAAATGAAAATGAGGATAATAATAGTGTTGCGTGTTCCCCTCTTCCTTCGAATGTACGAGCTGAAGTACGTTTTCAGGTGCACTCTGAATACTCTTGTCTTCAGATTCTCACTTTAGTAGTCCCCGACTCCTGTCATAAAACAGATCTTTTCGTTGTACTCCAATAGAAAACGCCCTTTAATTCAACTGGTGTTGTGTTTTATTACGAAGAATTAATAATCATACATCATCAGAAATGCGTATCACTAGTCTGCCATATTGGTATAAAAGCCAAGTGAGGTCGGTATTGTAGGAATTAGATTAACCAGAGTACTACAAGGACCTTCTTCAAACTCCCGCCACGATTCAAAAAACCTCACCTGCTTGAATTTTCGTAGCCGCAGAATTGAAACTCGACTCCGTCGTCGACTCCTCACTCTGATCCAACTCGGGAACGTAAATATGATACTCCTTGCTCTCCATCCTCTCCCGATCGTCCTCAGCATCGTCCCCCACAGCCGCTATATCAATCTCCTTCCCTCCCACCTCCCCAGGGTCAACCTCCCCCTCGCCCTCCCCCAAGAACTTCACCCTCGCCTCATCACTCCTACCATCCCCCTCCTCCTCGCCCTCCTCCACCCGAGTGTCCCTCATCCTCGCTAAATTCCCAGAACTGACTCTCCTCGTCGTGCACTGACTAGCCGACCTGGACACAGCCAGAGGAGTGTCTTCCTCCGTTAAGTTCTCAGTCCCCTGATCGCTCTCCGACCCCTTCTCCTCATCAGTTTTCCCTTCTTTATCTAGATCTGACTCTGCACGTGCCTCCGGAGGGTCTCCCCCAGAATCATGAGGAAGATCTTCATGAGATACTTCAACTTCTGTCTTCTCCTCATTCCCAAGATCCTCATTTGGCCCAGTGACATAAACAACTTTCTTCTCACAAAGGGGCTCCCTCACCTCTACAAATTCCTTAACAAAAACATCCTCACCAGTCTCCAGGTGCTTCACCTCCTCCTCATCGTCCCTAGCTCCTAGAGACTCAGACACTCCACTCCGATCCTCATCAACGTCCTCACAGCCCTCCAAACCCTCCTCCCCACGTCTCCCTCTGTCCCTCTCATCAGGGGTCAAAGTTTCCGTGAAGGAGTTGGTATTCTCGTTATCCCCAGGTTCATACTCGTCCTCAGTCATCTTGAAGGACGAAACAGTGATGTCCTGGAGGGAATCCAGGTTCAGTTCCGGGACGAAAGGTCTTGTGGGATCGATGGAGAAGCTTGTTCCGTCAGTGAGAGTCGTCTCCTTCGCTTCGTTCGAGGATTCAGCGCTTGCTGAGACAGTACTGACGTCCTCCCCGGAGTCCGGAAGGTCCTTGGGGGTCTCCATAGGCCCATCAGTGATGCTGGTTTCTTTCGCGGATGTTGAAGACATCGAAATACATTCAGGTCTTCCGAAGTCATCGGAAGCGTCCATTGACTTCTGGTCATTCGTCTCCTCTTCGACATCCAGGAAGCTTGTGGGGGGGTCCGAGGTGCCATTATCAACAGTTTCATCCTCTTCCAGGTCTTCCTCTTCGTTGATGCATTGGAGGTTCTGCTTCGGGATTGTTATCTCAGGCTTCTTGGGGATCATCTCTGGCTTCTTCGGGATCATATCGATCAGGGAGTCCTTCGGCTCCTCGAGGATGATCTCCTCCCCGAAGGACGACGAGGGATCCCGCGATCTCTCGGGGTTCTCAAGCTCCTCAAGAACCTGAGGTAATTTATGATCATCAGGTCCTGGAGATGGCGTGTGCTCTGGGATTATAACCGTTGTCACGGACTCTGGGATATCGTAAGGGGAGCCCTCAGTCAGGACGTACGTGTGAGGAGAGCCTTTAGGATCTGCTGACGCTCTTGATGATGCCTTCAACCCCTCATCGTCATCCTCAGGTTGATCTGATTGCCGATGACTGGGAGGTGCTTCATCAGGTGATTCAGGTTTTTGCGCACCATCCAGAGCATTCTCGATCTCCCTCTCGGCCTCCATCAGCTCCATGAGCTTTCTCTTCAACTCGTCATCTGATTCCGTGGGTTCGATCTCCTCAGGGGCTGGGATTGATTCACTCCTGAAGACCTTTTCGATCTTCTTCTCTGCTTCGTGGATTTCTAACAGTTTCTGTTTCAACTCTGATGTCGGGGGCTCGATGTCCTCAATCCTCTCTTCGGGTTCCAGGGAGTCCGGCCGCTGGAGGTCCGACGGCTCTGGGGAGACATTCAAACTGTCTTTGAAGACCTCCTCCACTGGGAGCTCTGGGATTTCAGGGTCTTTCGAGGTGTTCGGAGGGGATAACACTGGGAGGATCAGCTCCTCTCTGATTTTCGAGGATTTCGGAGCTTCTGGGGATATCGCAGGCAGGACAATATCCCCCAGATTATTTTTTTGAAGGCTCCTATTGGTGTTCTTCGAGGATTTCGGTCGAACTTCTGGGAGAGATACTTTGGACAGTCCCAACATGTCTTGGAAGTCACAGTCATCGGATTTTGATGAGGACGAGGCGCTTGCGCTTCCTCTGGACCTTCTGTGGCCGTTTTGGAAGGAGAAGGAGGTGGAAATATCCGCCAGGATGCTCCTGGTTTCGTTGAGCATTGACTCGAGTGCTTCGTTCTGCGAGAACTTGTCAGGGGACTTCTCAGGCTCAAAGATATTTATGTTCCTTCTGCTTCCTTTTGCCGAGTGGGACCTGCGGTATTTGCGATCCTCGAGGACGTGGTCATGGTCTTTGATCCTCACATCGAGACCATCTCGCTGGCCGTTGGAGATCAAGAGCTCTGAGATCATGAACTCCTCGTTTCTCTCGTGGCTTCCGCCGTTGATGTCCTCCGTGGAGATCATCGAGACACTTCTGATTCTTCTCAAAGCCCTTGCCGATCGAGAACGGCCTGGGGGCTTTGACAACTCCGAGGAGACATTCTCCAAGAGCCTCTGCGTGTCGTTCAACCGGCTCTCCAGGACATCTGCGGGTGCCTGTGGGGTCTCAGCGGTCTTCAACGACTCCGAAGCGTTTGATCTCTTCCTCGAGTTGATCATCTCGTTCTTCAACTCCTCAATCTTCTCCCGGATTATGGGCTCCGTCGAGTCGATGATGCTCTGGACCTTCTCCACGTAGTTCAAGGATTGAAGCTCTTCCAGACTCTTCGTCGACGAGAATTTCCTGACTACGTAGTCTTTCACCTTGTCCATACTCGGCGTTCTCGACATTTTGTCGTCACTCGGGCTGCCGCCATTTTGTTTATCTTTTCTTCGGTCCTCGGGTCGTCTTGACCTGTCTGATGATCGCTTTGACGGTTTCCTCTGGGTCTCGAAGGACTCGGACGTGTCGAATCCTTCGATTTTTGATCTGTTTTCTTCGGCTTCTGGTCTTCTGGGCTTCGACCTTCGCTCTCTACTGCTTATTCTATTCTTTCGGAGCTCGTTTTTTATGTCTCGAGAGGTCATCTCCGTGGACATCCTGGAGAGGATCTTTGGAGTTGTTCGGGGTTCGGAGTCGCCGGATTGGGAGGAGGAGGGCGAGCTCTCGAAGGGCCTCGAGGGTCTTCGGGAGTTTTTCGGGGTTTTCGAGCAGATGTGGTGGGGTGGGCTTGCACTGGAGGGGGGATGGTAGTCGGAAGGGGGGTGGAATGGGTCCTGGGAGGTGGGGGAGTCAGTGATGATGCTTCGGTGGCGCTTCAGGACCTTCGCCGTTTGGTTCAGGGACCAGCCGCTGCGCTCCGCCTCGAGGCGCGCTTGAGTCGAAGTTTTTCGACGCTCCGGGGAGGTTACGTGGGTCAGGCCCATGTCCCGGAGGGTCCTGGGGTCTCTTTCGAGGGGGATCCCGCTCGTTTCGTACTGCTCACGGAGCTGGAGGAGATTCTCGAAGTGACGCGCTGCGAAGACGTAAATGTCCTCAGGCTTGTTACGGATCACCTCCCGGGTCAGACCCTCTACTGCTGCTGCGAGACCCTGGGGCACTCGGGGGGCCACCAGGAAGCCGGAAGTGTGCTTCGGGGGTGAGAATGTCGCCATTTTATCCTGGAAGCTAGAGCCGGGATTTTTTTATTTTTATTTCTCCAATTTATCTATTTTTTATTTTTCTGATTTTTTCTAGACTTTAATCTTCTTCTTGACCTCGAAAAGTTCATTTTCTCATAAGAGTCTCTGTTATTTTTTCGACTTATTATATCACTATCGTAAAAAATTTATTTCAGATTTCGCTCTTCAAATCACTGCAATATTTTATTGAAAGAAAAGTCAATTAAATCAACGGCAATGCTCACGCGGGGATTTGAACCCACAACCTTCAGATTACGAACTCGCTACTGTAACCAATGTAGCTATCGGGGAATCCCCCGTATTTATACTATTTTAAAAGGGCCCTTACAGCTTTCATGCTTTTGTCTACCGATTGTACCTCTTGTATATACTATTGTTGATATTTTTATAACCGGTTTAAGTATTGAAGGAACTTGAGAAACCGCTAGAGGATGCAGTCATATGGGAATTAAAAAAATTATAAACACTAGAATTTTGGAAGAGTAATAGACCGGCATTCTGGGAATATGAGTTTGATTCTCACTCGGGTTTTTTCGGAATTCCGTCCGAATTTATTTACTTGCAACATCATCCGGTACTAAGAATAACAATTTAAAGGGGGG